CACTCTGTTCTGTCTCTCAAAAGTTAATGAACATTAAAAAAGAATTTAAGAAAAAATGTGCCCAGGGGCACCCGGCTGGCTCAGTCCGTTGAGCCAGTGACTCTTGATCTCAGGGTTATGAGTTTGAGCCCCACATTGGGTGTAGAGATTACTCAAAAATAAAATCTTTAAAAAAGGAAAGAAAAGGGGCACCTGGGTGGCTCTGTAGGTTAGACGTCCGACTTCGGCTCAGATCATGATCTCGCAGTCTGGGAATTCGAGCCCCGCATCAGGCTCTGTGCTGACAGCTCAGAGCCCGGAGCCTGCTTCAGATTCTGTGTCTCCCTCTCTCTCTGCCCCCCACTCACACTCTGTCTCTCAAAAATGAGTAAATGTTAAAAAAAAATTTTAAAAATAAAAAGAAAAGCAAAAAATGTACATGGCCTAATCCCTTTCACTCAGGCCTGATGCGTTCCTGGCAAAATCCTAGAAGATGACCCGGAAATGTTGGCCAACTTCCTTCTAATCCTGAGTCTGTAATTCTACTGCTTTTAAAGACTGCCTTTTTTAAAATTTATATTTAATTTATATTTTGTTTTGTAACGTTTGCCCGTTGGAAAAAGCTATCTAATTCCTTTCGAGAGCTGTTTTGGGACATTAGAAGAATATCGTTTGCTATTTTGAAAGTACAGTGGAGGTACTATTTTTAATACTTCCCCCGTCATTGCCGTGATTAGCCTGTCTCTGGGGCTTTAGCAATGAAGACCAGTTAAGTTTGCTGCATCCAGAGACTGACTTTGTGAACCTGCTTTTTCCTTTTGATTAGGAGACATCAAAAATAGCCTCTCTGGCTGGGTATGCTTCCTCGGAAACAACCCGTCTTGCAGGTGCTAACTGGAGTGTCATCCAGACAGTCCTTTGGGGCACCTGCTAAATAGGGACAGCAGCTCACACGAGGACATTTTTCATACTTGGCATCATCCTTTACAGGAAAGGGCCCTATTTAAAGGAACATTGCCATTTAAATAGTTGAGGAACCTGAACCATTGTGAGGACCTCATTTTCATCATTTGGTGCAGGAGAAGCAGCCAGGGGAAGTGGGTGGCCCTTAAGAGCTAGGAGCTCACCTTCTGGCCATTCTCTTTGGAGACGGTCCCCGAGGCAGGTCCTGCAGTGCCCAGTGAGTACGGCTGTATGTTGGGGATATTTGGGGGTGAAGGGGTGTGCATGTTCATATACCTTATACAAACACAGACAGTGCCTATGTTATCCTGAGAATGTAGAGCATAAATGTATACACAGGTAGCATGTATACGGGGAAACCACATTTTAAAAAGACGTGCCAGACTTTGAAAATAAGAATATGATAGCATTTAGGGGTCAGAGATCTTAAATTTTTTTTTTCCTTTATGAGATTTAAAAACATTTTGCTTAGCTCTAAAGTATTGTGTTTGGGGGATACAGCCAGATAGAGCTACTTCCTTTTTTTTAATGTTTATTTATTTATTTTGAGAGAGAGAGGGGGCAGGGGAGGGGAAGAGAGAGGAGGAGAGAGAGAATCCTAAGCAGGCTGTGCACTGTCGGCATGGAGCTCAACGTGGGACTCGAACCCATGAACTGTGAGATCATGACCTGGGCCAGAACCAAGAGTCGGATGCTTAACGGACTCAGTCCCCCAGGCGCCCCTAGCGCGTAATACATGTAGGAAGTATACGGTCTGATCTTTGATTCCGTAGCTACCTGTGAGGACTGGTTCCCTTCCAGGTACGAGAAGACAGGTGAATTCATGGTAAGGGAAACAGAAGTGCTTCCTGTCCTCAGAGATTTTCCTGAGTAGTTGGCG